AAGGAGTGGACAGAAAGCCCCTCCCTCTCTGTCCCGGACACAATGTTCCGGCTCCAGCGACTGCACGGCGCATGCTTGTGCCGTAGCCTGGCCACACCCCTCATTCCCTCCAGTTGGTTGGAAAACCGGCTGAGTACCCGCCCCTCTCTTTCAATTGATCATAAGCCGCCGTCATTCATTCGGGTGGGTGTGTTGGAGTATGCGCGGTACGAGAGATGTCCGTTTGGAGACGGCCGATTGAGGTTTCCGCTGGCAGGGTGTGATGGTTGAAAGGGGGTTTGAGGGGGGCGGCAGCTGTCGGTGTATCGATGTGGTGGTTAGTCTTCATACAATGCCCATTCTAGGTCTGAGTCTCCAAGCAAGTGACACGTTTGAAACAAACGTCGTCTTGTATAAGAAAGATGTTGTTAAAACTGACAGGGCGCAGAAAAAATTTACAAAGATGTTGCTGGGCTTTGGGCTACAGCGGGAGGGCTGGGTTTTTCTTCCCTGGAGCGTTGGAGGCCGAGCGGTGACCTTATAGAGGTCTATAAAATCATGAGGGCCATGGATAGGGTGACTAGCCAAGGTCTTTTCCCTGGGGGGGGGAGTCCAAAACTAGAGGGCACAGGTTTAAGGTGAGCAGGAAATGATTTAAAAAGTACCTACGGGGTAACATCTTCACGCAGAGGGTGGTGCGTGCATGGAAGGATCTACCAGAGGAAGTGGCAGAGGCAGGTATAATAGCAACATTTAAAAGGCATCTGGATGGTACATGAATAGGAAAGATTTAGAGGGATATGTCCCATTTGCCAGCATTTGGCCCTAGGTCAGATTGGGATGTCTGGATGGTGTGAGGAGTTGTGCCAGAGGGTCTGTTTCTGTGATATATAACTCTATGACTCTATAAATGGCAGGGCTATAATAGGCTATGGGATTAGCCTAGTTTGGTGTTTGTTGGTCAGCATAGACAAGGTGGACTGAAGGGCCTGTTTATCTGCTCTGATTCTATGACTATGAAAGGACATTTACCAATAGTGAGGCAATTGATTTTTGAGAATGGTCAAGAGGTTGGAATTGGGCTAGTGCAGCAATCTGAAAGGATTCTGTGACCAGCAGAGATTGGAATAGCTTTCACAGACGGGTTTGAGAACAAGGATAAGAAATGCAGAATTTCGGTGTTTCTCAACTGGCAGTCTTTTTAGGTCGGTGAGCACAGAATGAGGTTAATAAGGCTTGGTGCAAGTGAGCACATTGGCAGCAAAGTGTTGGATGTACTCAAGATTACAGAAAGCTTGAAGGTGGGAGATGTATCAGGAGTGTGTTAGGGTCATTCAGTGTCACATTTTTAGCAAGGCTTTCCTATTTTCAGCATAGGGGAACCGAGGCTGTGCAGTGTCACCGAGGTGGAAATAGAATGTTGGGGTGAAAATGTGGCTCTGTGGTCAAAGATTTGTGTCTGAGTCTGGTCGTCCTTCAACTTTGTGGACAGTCCAGTTCAGACAGTTGCTAGGGATGGAAATACAGTCGGGGTTAGGAAGGTTGTAGCAGGGACTGAAGCCAGTAGCTTTTATTGTCCCAGTACTGATTTGGAGGAAATTTCTGTTCATCCAGCATTGGATGTCAGGACATAGTGTGACTTGGGAGCTTCAAGGTGATGAATGCTTTGTTCCCCTTGTCCCTCAAGGTGGTGGAGGTGGCTGGTTTTGAAATGTTTTGCCAAAATTCTAGTTGACTTGTTGGTAAATAAAATCCCTCTCCCTTCACTAACTCCTCCTTCCAGATTTCTGTCTCTCTCTCTGTCCCCTCTACCCCATCTTCCCATGGAGATTAGCGTCTTTATGACCAGACTGAATGACAGATTCCACTCCCTGAAGGACACTAGTAAAACAGATGAGTTTTTATGAAGATCCAGTAGTTTTCAATGTCACTTTTTCTGTGGCCAATCCTACGAATCAAATTCATTCAGCTCAATTTCACAACCTGCCCTATGGTTGGTTAACCGTTGGATAAGAGCATTTAGAAATACGTATTACCTGTATAACCAAGCAGAGTCAATGTGGCTTTATGAAGGGTCAGTCATACCTGATAAGCTTATTAAAATACTTTGAGGTAACAAACAAGGTAGATAATGAGGAACCAGTCGATTGTAATATATTTAGATTTCCAAAAAGCATTTAGTAAGATATTATACATGTGATCCATGCTGTTTGGCGGCGTATATTAGCACAGATTGAAGATTGGCTGATGAATAAAATACAGAGTTGGACTAAAGGGGCATTTTCATGATAAAACAATAAAAAGTAGGAAGATCAGCCCCTCAAGCCTGCTCTGCCATTCAGTAGGATCATGGCTCATCCAACATTCTTCACATTCACTTTTTAGCCCTTTCCCTGTAATCCTTGATTCCCTTACTGATCAATGATCAATTTGATCAAGATGGATAGCCATCTCAGCTTTAAATATTAAACCAGGACTCTGCCCCTACAGTTCTCTGTAGCAAGGAATTCCTTCTTCCCTATCTCATTCCTAAATTGGTGTCCCTTTACTCCGAGTCTACCTTCTCCCTAGGTATCCTTTTGTTTTTAATGTATGTATAGAATGCCTCGGGATTCTCTTTAACCCTACTTGTCAAGGTTATTTCATGGCTCCTTCTTGCTCTCCTAATTCCCTTCTTGAATTCTGTTCTGCTTTCTTTATATTTCTTACAGGCATGACAAATTTTAGCTTCCCAAACCTTACATATGCATCTTTTTCCCTTTTTGACTAAATTTACAACCTCCCTCATTATCCAAGGGTCCCTTACCTTGCCATCCTTATCCTTCCTTCTTATTGGAACATGCCAATCTTGAACTTTGATCACTAGGTCTTTAAACCACTCGCACATGTCAAATGTGGACTTGCCTGATAACAGCTCCTCCCAATTAACTCTCCCTAGCTACTGCCTACTGCTGATGCAATTTGCTTTCATGCAAGGTTCTGACTTCTCCCTATTCATAACTATTTTAAAACTTAAGGAGTTGTGATCACTGTTTCAAAAACGCTCTCCCACTGAAAAGTCAGTCACTTGGCTAGGCTCATTAGCCAGTACAAGTTTCAGTATGGCCCTTCCTCTAGTTGGACTATCGCATGATGTTTCAAGAAATCCTCTTGGATACACTTAAATTCTGCCCAGTCTAAGCTTTAAGGAAGTCCCAGTCAATATAGAGAAAGCTAAAGTTTCCCTACGACAATCCTATTGTTACTGCATCTTTCCATAATCTGCCTACGTATCTTTTCCTCAATGTCTCAGTGGCTGTTGGGGGGCCGATTGGATAATCCTATCAGAGTGATTGCATGCTTCTTATTTTTAAGCTCTACTCGTATTGCCTCAGTAGATGAACCTTCCTGTAATTCCTGGCAGATGTGACATTTTCCCTGTTTAGTAAGGCAACTCCTCCACCTCTTTTACCTTCTTCTCTATCTCATCTAAAACAAGAAAACCCTGAAACGTTAAGCAGCCAGTCTTGTCCCTCTCTCAACCGAGTCTCTGTAATGGCCACAACATCATAGTCCCATGTACTCATCCAGGCTCTAAGCTCATCTGCCTTACCTAGAATACTCCCTGCATTGAAATAAACACATTAGTACCGCTGTGTTCATTTACCTATCTCTGCCTGGCCTTCTTTTCTGACTTAATGGTCCTAACATCTGCCTTCCCCTCAAACCCTCCGCTTGCTAACCTGCTGCTCTGGTTCCCAGACCCCTGCCACTTTAGTTTAAGCTCTCCTAGGAAATTGCTATGTGGACCTGATGTCTAATTAAAGCGTTCACATGAATAAGAGATCATTCAGTCTGAAGAAATCCCTGCTTGATAGGTGATGGAAGTGGCAGAGAATGATACTTGGATACGGAGGTTAGTGGGGTGATTATGTGAGGACAAGGGGATTCTGTCTTTGTTTTTGTTGGGGGAAGGGATGTGAGGGCAGAGGTGTGGGAAATGCAAGAGATGCAGTCGAGAGCATTTTCAACCACTGAAGTGGGGGGGGGTGGATGTTGCAGTCCTTGAAATAAGAGGACATCTGGGATGTTAGGGAGTGGAACGCCCCATCTTGGGAGCAGACACGGTGGAGACGGAGGAATTGGAAGTAGGGATCACGTTTTTGCGGGAAGGTAGGTGAGAGGAGGTGTAGTCTAGGTACCTGTAGGAGTTGGTGGGCTTGAAATAATGTCCGTTTCGAGACAGTCACCAGAGATGGAGACAGAGAAGTCCAGGAAGGAGAAGGAGGTATCAACCTAAATATGGATTTCACTGCTTTCAAAACTTCTCCACCCCCAGCTTCACCACACGACCAATCCCCTCTCTCATCTCCGCCTCCTTGACCTCACACAACCTGTCCATCTTCTCTCCCACCTATCTGCACCTCTCACCTCACTGATCAATCCCCACCACTCCCTATCTGCACTCACCTATCACCACCCCACCCCTCGTCTCTATTTATTTCTGAGCTCTTCACCAGCACCCACCCACCCCATCCTTTTCTGAAGAAAGGTCCCCCGCAACGTCAACTTCCCTGTTTCTGTGATGCTGCCTGGCGTGCTGGGTTCTTCCAGCTCCACACTGCCTTTTGAATGACTGTGATTTTGGGGATTCTTGGAGGAGGCCGAGATCAATCATACTCTCGTAATTTTGGCTAAACATTATTGTAAATGCTCCAGCCCATACTTTGCAATGGTGTGCTGGGTATCCCCATCATGCACACGACGAGAATGTGTTGCTTTGTTTTATTTTGAATGAGTAAATTGTGAACCTTCTCTAACCAATCTGCATCCTAATCGTGGATTAGTCCCGCCCCTCTTTCACTTCGATTGGTTGGAGGACCGGTGATCTTGCTCTGACTTCCAGCCACACCACCCCCTTTCTATTGGTTAGCGTGTGCTGCCAATCACTCAGGTGGGTGCTGAGCATGCGTTGTACGGAGATGATGTGGGATTCGTGGGGGTACTCAGCTGAGCTCTCGTAGGGCTGGAGAGTTGGTGCCCTGTCAGTGGCTCCAGTAGGGAGCCGGTGTTTCTGTTAGACGGAACACTCAAACTCCGTGTAAGAAGCTCCAGGTTCAGTGTTCAGTGCCAGACGCCAGCTTTCCTTAGAAAACAGGCCCCGAGTTAACGGCCGCCGGAGGGCTCAGGAAGCGCGCGCAGCCGTCATCTTGGTGAGGGCATTGCCCTGCAAGACGCATGCGCGGCCCGCAGCGTCATGTGACCTGACAAAGCCGAATGAAGACCCCACTGGAACAATCAGAGACTGATCTCCCGACAGGCAGCAGCAACAACAACAACTTCTATTTCAATACCGCCTTTGACATAATAAACTATCCCAGTGCACTTCACAGAAAAGAGGTAAAACAAATTGTCCTGTAGAGCCACACGAAGCGATATCGCGGCAGATGATCAAACTTCTTGGGCAAAGAAAGTAGCTTTTTAAGGAGAAAAGTGGGGGAGGGAATGCCAGACCTCAGCACCGAGGCAACTGAAGAATGCAGCCACCAATGATGGAGCAATGAAAATTGTGGGGATGGAATTAGAGCAGCCCAGATATTTCGGAGGGCTCTTCTGGAATCGGGAAGATCACAGAAACAAGCAGGGGTGGGCCTTGGGGGAATTTGATATTAAAGCTGAGAATTTTAAAGTCAGGATGTTGTTTGGATGGGAGCTAGTGTAGGTCAGCGGGCGCAGGACTCAAGAGTTGCTGCAATTTGCCGACAGCAAAGTTTTGAGTGACTTGAGTTTCCAGAGATCAGAAGGTGGAAGATCGTTGTGCACAGCATTGCAGTAGTTGAGGTCTGAGATAATAAAGATATGAACGAGGGTTTCAGCAGTAGCTACACTACGATAGGGGCAGGCGCAAATTAGATGACAGATGGAAACAGGCGGTCTTAGTACTAGCATAGATATAAGATCAGAAGCTCCTCTCCGAGTCAAATGTAGCACCAAGTTGTGAATAGCCTGGCTGAATATCAGAGTGTTGCCAGAGTGAGGGATTGAGGTAGCAGCTCGGGAATGAAAATTGGAGCAGGGACTGGAAACAGTGGCTTCATTCTTCCCAATATTTAATTCGAGTTAGTTAAACTGCATGAAGAGAGTCGGTAACCAGAATGGACTATGAGGCTGATTCCAGATTTAATTTAGTTTGAACGGGAAAGAAGGAGCAAAAGGAACACTTGGGAATATGGATATGGAAATTTCAGTCCTGAAGGTAGATTGGAGAAGGCGAAAAGGAGATTATGTGGAAGTGGATAGTGAGAAACTGTTCATACTGGTAAATGCATTGAGAACAAGAGTGCAAATTTCAAATAATTTACCAAGTGAAAAATGTGATGGGGGAAAAGAATTTTTCATGCAGCTGGTAATTAGGATCTGGAATGTAATGCATGGAACTGTTTAGGCAGATTCAGTCAAGGGTATTATATGATTATTTGACTAGATGCAATGTACAGGATGACAGAAACATCAGTAGAATGGCATAAAGTCAGAATGATAATGTAAAGAACCACACAGGCACAATTGGCCGAATGGCCTCATTCTGCAACATAGTCGTTTTTGTGTTTCTTATTGTTTACTTATTGCTGACTTATGAACATGAGGCTATTTTTCTCCAGTTCTGTATGGTATGGCAACATTGAATATGGAGACAGGGAGGATCAGACTAATCGATCAAATGTGGCGCTGGAAGAGCACTGCAGGTCAGACAGCAACTGGGAGGTTAGTCCTGATGAAGGTTCCAAACATTGACTTTCCTGTTCCTCGGATGCTGTATGATCTGCTGTGCTCCTCCAGCTCCACATTTTATTGACCCTGACTTTCAGCATCTGCAGTCCTTGCTATGTGCAGGACCAGATTAATGTTTTGTGATGAGTAATGAGTGAACTGAATTATCAGAGATATTACTGTCTCTGGATGTACATTTTTTTAAAAATGTTCAGAAAGAATTTATCAAAAGCTTTATTTGGATTTCAACAGAAAGAGGGAGGAGTGTGTGAGACAGGGATTTACAGCTTTGGGAGAACAAGAAAGGAAAAATATTCCACAAAAACTGAAATTGTTTGTTCAGAATTTCTATCATGTACTCCCAGTGCTGACTTCTATGAACTTCTATTCCAGGGTGTTAGAAAGAGAGGACTTGCTGATGGGAAACTTGAACTGTACATCATGCCAAGATCTGAGAAAGTCACTCAATTCATCAGCACATGAATGTTACATGCACGGACACTTGAGCGGAAATTTTTTTAACCAGTTACACAACCTGAGAGAGTGTCCTAGTGAACTTACTGTGGAAAGAGATTTATAAAGGTAAAGTCACTATAGTCCCGTGCTGTCAGAGAGACACAATAGGGGATGGCTTAACCTGACGGTTACTACGTCTCAGATGAGAGGCAAGGTTAAGAAGGTGGGACTTTCATGGTAACCTCAGCTGGTGCAGGAATTGAACCTGTGCTGTTGGCACAGGTGCTCTGCATCAAAAACCACACAGTAATGGAAGCCCAGAAAGAGTTTTAACCAGTTTAATACAACACACCCTGAAAACATCACAGCACAGTGGGGTGAAACTTGTGCATCTGAACAAAGCTTGAACTTATAATTCAACTAATAGTCCACAAGGACTACTGCACCATGGAGAAACCTTGGAAATGTGAGAACTGTGGGAAGGGCTTCAGATATCCATCCAGGCTGGAATATCATCAACGCAGTCACATTGGAACTAATACTGCAGAAAAACGATGGAAATGTGAGGACTGTGGCAAAGGGTTTGATTATCCCTGTCTGCTAGAAACCCATCAACGCATTCACACTGGGATCAGGCCATTCACCTGCTCTGTGTGTGGAAAAGGATTTACTAATTCATCCAGCCTCATGTTACACCAGCAAACTCACAATGAGGAGAGACCGTTCATCTGCTCCGTGTGTGGGAAGGGATTTGCCAAGTCAGCCAACCTCATGTTACATCAGCGAATTCACACTGGGGAGAGGCCATTCAACTGCACTTACTGTGGAAAGAGGTTTAGGCAGTCATCTGCCCTCACTGCACACCAGCGACTTCACACTGGGGAGAAGCCGTTCACCTGTTCAGTATGTGGGAAGGGATTCACTCAGTCATCCAGTCTCCAGTCACACCAACGAATACACAATGGGAAGAGACTAATCAGTGGCACCTCCCGCAGAAAAAAGTTGTTGAAGTCTTCAGCTGATTCCATGTCACACCAGCAAGATAATACTGGGCAGAGACCATTCGCCTGCTCCGTGTGTGGGAAGGGATTTACTCAGTCGGCCAGCCTCATGTCACACCAGAGAATTCACACCAAGGAGATGCCATTCAGTTGCGCTCACTGTAGGAAGAGATTCAGGTCTTCATCCAACCTCAGTGCACACCAGCGAGTTCACACTGGGGAAAAGCCATTCACCTGCTCCAAGTGTGGGAAGAGATTCGCTCAGTCATCCAACTTGGTGGTACATCAGCGAATTCACACTGGAGAGCGACCATTCACCTGCTCCGTGTGTGGAATGGGATTCACTCGGTCAGCCAGCCTCATGTTGCACCAGCGAATTCACACCAAGGAGAAGCCATTCAGCTGCACTCACTGTGGAAAGAGTTTCAGGCAGTCATCCACCCTTACTGAGCACCAACACACTCACACTGGAGAGACACCATTCACCTGCGCTGAATGTGGGAAGGGATTCACTCGTTCGGCCCGCCTAATGTTGCACCGGCGAATTCACAATGGAGAGAAGCCATTCAGCTGCACTCACTGTGGAAAGGGATTCAGCCAGACTTCTGACCTGACTGCACATGAGCGGATTCACACTGGGGAGAAGCCATTTATCTGTTCTGTATGCAGCAAAGGATTCACTCATTCATCCGGCCTTTGGTCACACAAGCGAGTTCATACTGGGGAGAAGCCCTTCATTTGCTCTGTGTGTGGCAAAGGATTCACTCATTCATCTGGCCTTTCATCACACAAGCGAGTTCACACTGGGGAAAAGACATTCGTCTGCTCCGTGTGTGGAAAAGGATACATTCATGCATCTGGCCTTTGGTCACACAAGCAAGTTCACACCGGAGAGAAGCCATTTATCTGCCCCGTTTGTGGGAAGGGATTCACTCTTTATTCCGGCCTTTGGTCACATAAACAAATTCATGCTGAGGAGAAGCAATTCAGCTGTGTTGCTTGTGGAAAGAAGTTTGGGTCTGCATCCTATCTCAATGTACACAAGCGTGTTCACACCGGGGAGAGGCCATTCACCTGTTCCATGTGTGGAAAAGGATTCACTCGGTCATCCAATTTGTTGAGGCATCAGCGAATTTATAAGCATCAGCAGTGTTTGGATTCTACTGATATTGCTGCTGTTAATCACTGCAGTGTTTCTGCTAAAGTCAACAATCTCGATTAATAGCAGCAGTTGAAATATTCAGGATATATCACTGATTTTCAGAGGTTCAGTGTCCTTTTCTAAAATCATAATTTGTGATCCTTCTCCTTATTCAAAAATTCTCAACAGGGGCTCAATTACAATAAAATTATCAGCCTTTACTTGAATGTTAAATTGATTTTTGATGCAAAATCTGCACTTCACTGTCTGAAAGTATTCATCAACATCTCCAATGAGAAGGTGCTAATTCATCTTTGCTGACAATTCTTACTCATTTGCACAATTTTTGCATTTTGCAATTAAATTTCCCAAAGCACATAAGCATTATGACATTTTCCAGGTACAGCAATAATCACTTTATGATGCAACATTCATGTCAGTGAAGCTTTGGAGTTGTTGAGTTCAATCATTTATGACACAGCAGCAGCAGCTACAACTTTTGGTAAAGACAGAACCCACAACAAAGCAGGGGTAGCATCTGCATTGCAGCGAAAATCAAACCTACCTAATGTACAACAATCTGCTGAAGCAGTCCATGTCCAAATGCAGCAAAACCTGGCTGTATCTAGGCTTGGGCTGAAAAGTCACAAGTAAATGCCATAAAAATGCCAGGCAATGACTATTGCCAATAAAACACAATCTACTCACTTCCCCTTTACTACCATCACTGTGTATGCTACTATTAGTATCATGGGGGATACTGTTAACCAGAAGCTGAACTAGACTAACCATATAAATACTGTGTCTACAAGAGCCAGTAAGAAGCTAGGAAACAACAAGTAACTCAGCTGCTGAGTGCCCAAAACCTGTCCACCATCTGCAAAGTACAAACCAAAAATGCAATGGAATACTCCACTCACTTGGATGAGTGCAGCACCAACAAAACTGAAAAAGCTTGACACCATATAAGGCAAAGCAGCCCATTTGATGGACACCACATGCACTACCTTTACCACTGATGTTCAGTAGCAACAATGTGTACCAACAACAAGATGCCCTACACAAATTCACCAAAGATCCTTAAACAACACCTTCCAAACCTACTACCATCTAGAAATACAAGGCCACTTGATACATAGGAACGTCAACACTTGAAAGTCCCTCACCACGCTGTGTTGGAAATATTTTACTGACCCTTCAATGTGTTGGGACAATATTCTGGAACTGTCTCCCTGTCAACATTGTATGTCTACCATGTGGTCTAACAGTGGTTCAAGAATGCAACTCACCCCAATGTCAAGGTCACCTAGGAATGCGCAATAAATGCTAGTCCAGCTAGTGACACCTACAAGTGAATTAAAAAAAACATAAGCCTGACGTCTAGAACACTCCTGCACTTGAAAGTAGCCAAGACAGCCATGGAAAGGGCAGGGAGATACTGTGCAAAGAAATCCTGGATTCTCTGTCAAGAAATCCAAATTGAACGTGACAAGGAAAATCTTGATGGGATCAAGCGAACACTTGGTGCACCCAGCACCAAAATTGCTGCCTGGAGATCAGGAGAATTTGAAATTCTCACTGACAAAAGTAAACAGATATCCTGCTGGGTTGAACACTCCAGTGAGCTGTACTCACATGACACAGACAAATCTAGGTTCTTGCAGCTTCCTGTCATGGTGTTAATGCGGTACCCTCATCATTTGAATGGGAAAAGGCTGAGTAAGCAGAAAGGACCCCAGCAAGGATGGAATCACAGCCAAACTGCTCAAACACAGAAAGTCCAACAACAACAAGAGGCATCTCATTTCTTAGTGTCACAAAGAAGACTTTCACTAAGGTCATGTTTAACAGACTGTGCTTGTAGTATGTGTGTGTGTGCATGCATGTGTGTGTCCAGAAGCACAGTGCGTTTTCTGTGCAGATAGACAGACAGTGGACAGGAGCTTCTTCGTACACCACCTACAAAAGAATGTTCCAATTGATGTTTAATCAAAAATGCTGCCAGCTTTTGTTTTGTGAAATGTAATAATACTGAGTGAAAGTAAACTATTAAGTATGAATTGAAAAATATAGGCAGAATTGTGAAAGGCATGAAAATGTTTGATTCCCAAAAGGTAAGCTCCAGATTTGAGGTTATGATCTGGATTTCAGATAATGTGAGAAACTCTATCCTGTTTAGTTTTTTTTGGTCAAATACAGTCAGAGTCTTTGTTTTACCTTTTTTTTAAATTCTATTTTTCTACAATTATGTTAAGAAAGAACCAAAAACTGGACAAAACTCCACCAATTTGCAAACAAGCAGAGGAGCTAACCCTTTCTACTGACAGCATGATGACAATTTGAACTAGAAACTTTACTTTTGAAAGATTTGGTTTCATTCTTTCTGTTAATTTTCAAGACAAAGTGCTTGAGAACAGGAAATTTGGAAGTTATTTCCAAACTGATTGCAAGTGCTTTAGCCTCTGATCTATAGACAACACATTACATCAAGATTAGATAGAATAGTAAAGGTCCTCCAGTGCTCCTGAATGAGAATGATTGGGATGTTCTACTCAGAGAATATCATACCATAACTCAGAGTAAGAGATGGAGAACATCACATTAGTGAGTGGGAATTGGAATAACTGACTGTGAGTAAAGGATAGAGAACATTGCATCAGCAAGTGGGAATAACTGACAGTGAGTAAAGGGTTGAGGGAGTATTGGATGACATATCCCATGTGATGTTGGTGTAGTTAATGTGGGAAAAGTGTGGTGAAACTGCCTCAAAGAATTGGTCCCAAACGTGCTCAGTAACACAACAACAGGACACCATTGAGTAATTATTATAGATCGAAAGCTGAGATAACATTTTAAATTCTCAAGATATCAACACATAATCCACAGAAAAACTGACTGTAAGCCAAACGGGAGAGAATTAAACCCATCAACTAATCCCATCTTATGAAAATATCCTCAAGGTGAATGCAGGTGAACAGAGAGATGGCGACTCTTTAAAATCCATTTGGATTTATGACGTGAATGATTTAGAATTGTACGAGTCAAGCTCCAGTTGGGGAGAATGAATCAAAGTTGACAGTTATCGCATTTTATTGGAAACATTTTGACATTTGTTTATGGAGGCAGCTCAAGGGTTTTCCTAATTCTGAATCATTCTTGTAGCTATAGTGTGTTAGTTATGGCATGTAACAAATTAGAATAACCAGCTCCAAGCTTCAAAATAACTGGGTTAGTCAGAAATCAGTGGTAAAAGGTCAATAAGGAGTTTCTCTTCTCAAAATCAGTAATAAATTGCTGGATGAAATTGTAACATTTGAATAAATATATTGAATATTATAGGAAGCTCCCTATGTCTCACTCCCATAGTGTTCACCTGATGAGTCCCCTGGTGAGCTGCTAAACATTTGTTCCTCAATAAATATCACTGAACAGATTATTTGGTGAGAATCTTATTTACAGTTACAGAGATGCACAGTACAGAAACAGACCCTTCGGCCCACTCATCCATGCTGACCCGATATCCTAAATTAATTTAGTCCCATTTGCTAGCATTTGGCCCATATCCCTCCAAATCCTTCCTATTCATGTACCCATCCAGATGCCTTTTAAATGTTGTAATTGTACCAGTCTCCACCACCTCTTCTGGCAGCTCATTCCATACATACACCACCCTGTGTGTGAAAGTGTTGCCCCTTAGGCCTGTTAAATCTTTCCCCTCTCATCTTAAACCTATGCCCCCCAGTTTTGGATTCCCCCACCCTGGGGAAAAGACCTTGTCTATCCACCCTATCCATGTCCATCATGATTTTATAAACATTTATACGGTCACCCATCAGTCTCTGATGCTCCAAGGAAAATAACTCCAGTCTATTCAGCCTCTCCTGACAGCTTAAACCCTCCAATCCTGGCAACATTCTTGTAAATCTTTCGTAAGCTTAACAGTATCTCTCCTATAGCAGGGAAACCAAAATTGAATGCAGTTTTCCAAAAAAAGCCTAACCAATATCGGTACAGCCACAATATGACGTCCCAACTCCTATGCTCAATGCACTGACCAATAAAAGCAAAGGTGCCAAGTGCCTTCTTCACTACCCATTCTACCTGCAACTCCACTTTCAATGAACTATGAACTTGCACCCTAAGGTTGTTCAGTGACACTCGCCAGGACCTTACCAGTAAGTGTATAAGTCCTGCCCTGGTTTGCCTTACCAAAATGCAGCACTTCATACTTATCTAAATTAAACTCCATCTGCCACTCCTCAGCCCATTTGCCCGTCTTCTATTTGTGGGACCTTGCTATGCACAATGTTGCTGCTGTTTTACCTATACTACAAGAGTGACAACACTTCAAGATACCTTTATTGATTGTGAAGCACTTTGGAGCATCCTGGATTTGTAACTGGTGCTCTTTAAATTCAAGTCTTCTTGTAACAGAGGAGTAAAGATCCAAAAATGCAACACTTGGTAACAGGATATCAATCAGTCTCTTGTTAACTTAGAGAAATCAAGAACTCGAACACCATGCTTGACTAAGCAGAGTTATTTAACCTATGATCTAGAATAGAATAGACCAGCTGTTACAGCAAAGCCTTTTAATTATTATTGTTGTTAGGGGCTTAGAGTATAAAATCAAGGTGGCAATATTGAATTTGTATAAGAAATGTGTTAGACCACAGCAGGCATATTGTATACAGATATGGGCACAATCATAGGAAGTATTTGAACGCATTGGAGAGAGTGTAGCAGTGATTCACAATATTAGTTTCAGGGGTTAGAAATTTCAGTTATGAGGATAGCTTGAAGAAGTTGGGACTGATTATCTTGGAGTGAAGCAAGTAAGAGATCAAATCGAGGTTTTCAAGATCAAGAGGGGGCTGAATAGAATAGACAGAGAAACTATTCCCATTGTAAAAGGTTCAACAATCAGACAAAAAAAAAAGAACTGTAGATGCTGGAGATTTGAAACAAAAACAGAAATTGCTGGAAAAACTCCGCAAATGATGCGAGAGCCACTGAGTTTCTCCAGCATTCTCTGTGTTTGACTCCAATATGAGTATCTCATTTAGTGTCATTATTTTGCCTTCTCCCTGTATCCTGCACATTGTACTTCTTTAAGAACCACCTGATTCCCTTTTGACTGCCTCAATTGAACCTGCTTTAAGGTCTGAGACAGTGATTTACAAACACTAACTGCTCATAGAACATAGAACAGTACAGCATAGGAACAGGCCCTTTGGCTCGTTGTGTCATGCTGACTGTGATGCCATTCTAAACTAATCCCATCTGCCTGTATGTGGACCGTATCCCTCTATTCTCTGCCTGTTCATTTGTCTGTCTAAATCCTTCTTAAACATTGTTATCATACCTTGTGTGAAAAGTCTTTCCTCGTGTCACTTTTGCTTTTACTAATTACTTGAGATCTCTGCCCAATTGTTTTCAATCCGTTTATGTCGGAGAATATTTTCTCCCTATTTACTCTGCGCAGGGCTCTCAAGACTTTGAACACTTCAATTACGTCAGTTCCAATCATCAAGGAAAACGGTCCAAACTTCCTAATCTAGCTCCATTACTGTCATTCCTTATAGATGGCACCATTTCCATGAACGCTGTCACATCCAATTACTTCATATCCACCATCCTAAAGGCTGGCATCAAAATTGGGCAATGCTGCAGCTGGAGCATTCATTCAGATTCCAATTGTGTGGCAAAGATTCTGAAACACGTTTTCACTTTCTCCATGTGTTGCTGTGCTATATGTGTTGCAATGACTCCTCTGGTCATGAAGACAAATCCCAATTTCAGGAAGTTTTGACCTCATTGAGTGCAGCTTTGCTTGAAAAGCTGTGCAGACAACTTGGCAAAGCAATAGATGAGCAGTCCAGGATTTGAAACGAGGACCTCTTGAAAATGCTACTAAACCCTAAGTGAGAATCATACCCCGAGATGAATGAGCCAACGATACCCTTAATGCCAAACCTGGTAAAAGTCTCTATAAACAGGGAGTGAAAGCAGCAAAAAGTTTCAATAACAGCTTCATCCCATTCTGACTCCCTGCTCCAAAGAGGCTATTGTTTGCTGTCTTCCCCTGGGACCAGGGCTCTCTCCATTGATGGATGTATTAAACCATCTTCTTTTAATGGCAGGCTGTGCTTGGGGAGGGCAGCACACATTCACTCGGGGTAGTGTTTTCAAACAGAGAGACCTAGGGGTTCAGGTACATAGTTCTTTGAAAGTTGCATCACAAGTAGACAGGCTGGTTAAGAAGGCATTTAGCACACTTGCCTTCATTGCTCAGACCATTGAGCATAGGAGTTGGGTGTCATGTTTAGGTTGTACAGCACATTGGTGAGGCCAATTCTGGAGTATTGTGTGCAATTCTGGTCACTCTTCCACAGAGAGGGTAGTTTTAAATTGGAGAGAGTTCAGAAAAGATTTAACAGGATATTGCTGGGACTGGAGTGTTTAAGTTATAAGGAGAGATTGGATAGGCTGGGACTTTTTCTCACTAGAGTGTATGAGGTTGAGAAGTGACCTTATTGAGGTTTATAAAATCATGAGGGTCATAGATAAGGTGAATAGCAAAGATTTTTTTTCCCCTCAGGTGGGCAAGTTCAAAACCAGAGCACATATTTTGAAGGTGAGAGGAGAAAGATTAAAAAGGGACCTGTTTTGCAGAGAGTGTGGTTTGTATGTGCAATGAACTGCAAGATGAAGTGGTAGTTGCAGGTACAATTCCAACATTTAAAAGACATTTGGATAGGTACATGAATAGGAAAGGTTTAGAGAGATTTGGGCCAAACACAAGCAAGTGGGACTAGTTTGGTTTGGGAGACTTGGTCTGCATGGATGAGTTGAACTAGAGGGTCTGTTTCTGTGCTGTATGACTCTATGCACCCCCTTAAACACGGGAGGGAGGGGGAAGAATTATGTTTGCGCAGGAAATTACAAAAATTTCCAAATGACTTTTATCAGAGACAGAGCAAAAGCTGCACAGCTAGTGGGAAAGAGAGAAATGAAAACTGGACATTGTTCCCTGAATTAACTTATAATGGGATCTTTCTATGCACCCTATTTGGTGTTCAGGAATTGTCTTCACATAGCAATCCTGCAGAAACGCTAGCTACGCAAGTTGCAGGGCTGGATGAACACAGCAGGCCAAGCAGCATCATAGGAGCAGAAAGGCTGACGTTTCGGGCCTAGACCCTTCATCAGAAAAGGGGGAGGGGAAGGGGGTTCTGAAATAAATAGGGAGAGAGTGGGAGGCGGATAGAAGGTGGATAGAGGAGAGGATAGGTGGAGAGGAAACAAACAGGTCAAAGAGGCGGGGATGGAGCCAGTAAAGATGAGTGCAGGTGGGGAGTTAGGGAGGGGATAGGTCAGTCCAGGGAGGACGGACAGGTCAAGGGGGCGGGATGAGGTTAGTCGGTGGGAGATGGGGGTGCGGCTTGAGGTGGGAGGAGGGGATAGGTGGGAGGAAGAACAGGTTAGGGAGGCGGGGACGAGCTGGACTGGTTTTGGGATGCGGTTGGGGGAGGGGAGATTTTGAAGCTTGTGAAATACACATTGATACCATTGGGCTGCAGGGTTCCCAAGCGGAATATGAGTTGCTGTTTCTGCAACCTTCGGGTGGCATCGTTGTGGCACTGCAGGAGGCCCAGGATGGACATGTCATCTGAGGAATGGGAGGGGGAGTTGAAATGGTTCGCGACTGGGAGGTGCAGTTGTTTATTGCGAACCGAGCGTAGGTGTTCTGCAAAGCGGTCCCCGAGCCTCCGCTTGGTTTCCCCGATGTAGAGGAAGCCACACCGGGTACAGCGGATGCAGTATACCACATTGGCAGATGTGCAGGTGAACATCTAATTGATGTGGAAAGTCTTCTTGGGGCCTGGGATGGGGGTGAGGGAGCAGGTATGGGGGCAGGTGTAGCACTTCCTGCGGTTGCAGGGAAAAGTGCCGGGTGTGGTGGGCCTGGAGGGGAGTGTGGAGCAGACAAGGGAGTCACGGAGAGAGTGGTCCCTCCGGAAAGCAGATAAGGGTGGGGAGGGATTGCAGATGGCGGAAGTGTCGGAGGATGATGCGTTGGATCCGGAGGTTGGTGGGGTGGTATGTGAGGACGAGGGAGATTCTTTTTTGGTTCTTATTGCGGGGACGGGGTGTGAGGGATGAGTTGCGGGAGATGTGGGAGACACGGTTGAGGGCGTTCTCGACCACTGAGGGGGGGAAGTTACGGTCCTTGAAAAACGAGGACAACTGAGATGTACGGGAGTGGAATGCCTCATCCTGGGAGCAGATGCGGCGGAGGCGAAGGAATTGGGAATAGGGGATAGCATTTTTGCAGGAAGGTGGGTGGGAGGAGGAGTATTCTAGGTAGCTGTGGGAGTCGGTGGGCTTGAAATGAATATCGGTTTCTAGGTGGTTG